TATATATATATATATATATAAACAGATAAGTATGTATATAAAGTGTTGAAAATAAGCTTAATCGATTCTCATTTGCAGAACACAACCTCAGACTGGAGCTGTGGGTGGGAATATACACGTACATTGATTTACGATAATCCGGTTGCTAATATAGATAATAACGATCCGCGCACTCCACCTGCATGAATATGACGTAGATAATCTACTAATTGAACTCCGCATCAGATACTATAACACCCGCTTACTCACCACTTGGATCAACACAACATAAATTCGACTGAATGAAGTTCACACACATGCCTGGTCTTTCTCCCCCAAATGCATGGCAATACCCATCATTTGCATCAAAGCCATTGGAGCATGGTTGTTGATCTTGTTGATTGCCCCCTCCCAGTAACCCTCTGTCTCTAACCAAGTTTTGTAGTCTTGCAACCACGTGTACAGCCCTTCTCTGTCGCTCTCCGTCAGCGCTCCCTTCCTATAGGATTGATGTGAAAATACATACGGGTCGGTATATATTGGTGTATATTGAATACGAAGGTGTGTCTGATGTATAAACCATGCCTTGAAGTCTTGCAATCATATGTACAGTCTTCTGTCACATTCCATCAACGCGATCGCATTGTAGGATGAATTTAAAAGCAATCGTGTGTGTGGCTTTACCATATACAATAGGGTCTTGCAATTACGTACATCACCCCTCTCTTCATCTATGACTTGCTCCCAGCACTACAGAGCAGATTTACATGTCTATAGAGGCGTAAGTATTTTCTATTATATGCATATATGTCAATATACGGATATATGTATACGTATATAATTGAAGACCCCACAAAGTAAAACTTCAGGTTTATGGCTGGAACATTATTTGTATGTGTGTATACAAGTGTGTGTTTGTACTTACATTTCAAACCTACTCTGTCGCTCTCCGATAACGGAGCCGTAAAATGGAGATAAATTTAAATAATCACATGCTCGCGCGCGCATGTGTGTGTGTGTATATGTGATTGTGTGTGTGTGTGCGTGTATATAATTGTGTATGTGTGCGTGTATGTGGTTGTGTGTGTTTGTGCGTGTATGTGGTTGTGTGTGTGTGTGTGCGTGTATGTGATTGTGTGTGCATGTGCGTGTATGTGATTGTGTGTGCATGTGCGTGTATGTGATTGTGTGTGCATGTGCGTGTATGTGATTGTGTGTGCGTGTGAGAGTGAGCTAAAACTCTATCGCACGCTATCGATACCATGTGGACACAAATACGATACGAACCAGCTAATATACATTTCGTGTAAAAGGCAGCAATTTCAAGATACCTATTATCAGCAATGATAGCATACCAAGTATATACATGGGGCATTTTAGGGTAAACCTACACTCAAACTGTACATAACACTGCCATAATAGCACCGTCATAGTTCGCTTGAAATCGAGAGGCATCCACAATACTTGTAGCGTATTAGTTTGCGACTCCCAGAGAGTCTACATCCACATTATCCCATGACTTATAGATTTGCAGTTTTCGGAGAGTACTTCTACAAGGCTCCGCATTTCCGTTTGTTCGACCATCCCCACTTTTTATACTTGTCCTATTTTTCTCATCCATGCATAATACCAATGGACAAGATGCTTGCACGTATATGGCTCGTACACGCATTGAGAAAAGATGCATCAAAGACCAACGCCCCACAAACTCATATACACCCCACAAACTCATACGACCCTATCACATGTACTAGGTCATACATTTGAACAAACAAAAATACACCCAACACCACATCCGAGGATGTCGGATACCTCTGCACCACCACATACATGTTCAAAACGGCCAGTGCATCTAGTATCTCCACAATCAACCGGAAGTCCATGATACCCATAATACGCGAATCCACGTAACCAAGCACGGCTTGTGAACGAGATAGCCCCAACTTTGGATTCATCTTCGTGTCTTCATTGATGAAGAACTCGCGAAAGGCTGTCAGTGGGAGGGAATATGACATTAGACTACAATTTACGAAAAGCTGTCAATAGTAGGGAATATGGCATCTAATTCCAACATACGAAACACTATCAGTAGCAGACAATAAAACATTAGATTGAAAGTCGCGAAGGACTGACAAGGGCAGGTAGAATAACATTAGGTAGTGGTCCTAGTGATATATCATAATACAAATAGAAAATCATCATATTGAATATTCTCAAGCAAAACATGTAGGCCAATAACACTTCAAAACAAAACCACCGCTACTTCAGATCCAACGACGTTGTATGCTCCATAGAAGACTCGAGGAGTTTGATGTAATTGGAATGTACCTAACTCCAAGTACAAGGTCAGGAGTGTTTTCAGACTGCGACTGCAAATAGACACAAGTTCGCAGTACGAATATTGACATGTTTATAGGACTTTTTACCAGCTTCATTCTTTGGGTCAAGTGTGCTTGTATATCTGTATACTCAACAATGTGCAGTGATTTAACGCACCATCTAGTGAGAAATTCATATACGAAATAATCATCTACCTACGTACATAAACAATTTTTCAAGTGCGTGTACACGAGTAAGTAAGTACCTTTCACTGCGCTGTCGCTGAGCTCCTCATCGCCCGAGAAGTAGTAAGCGATAGCGGCATTCTTGATTGCGTGGTGTAAGTTGTAGAATACCTTCTTATCGGGAACGTATGCGTTGTTGAGCGTTGAATCTACACAAGGAGAAAATGAGCGTATAGACAGAGGGTATGGTTAATTGGTGCCTGGTGTGCAGGATGTGCAAACAGTCGAAATTTGATACATAGAAATACAAAGCTACATTCTGGTATGTAGATTTGTATGTTACAATTGCGTATTTATGTGTATTAGTGTGAGTATTGTGCCTCTGAGGGTTTGTGTGCGTTTATTCACTATGGTATATATATATATATATATATATATATATATATACATATATATTAATATATATATTACTATATATTGATACATATATTAATATATATATATATATATAGTGGGACCTCTAGAG